CCCCAAAACCCCAAAACCCCAAAACCCCATAAATCAAAATTAATGATCTTAATGAAATAAATTTATGGTTTTTATTAGAATTTCCTTAATTTTTGATTGATCAGCTCATCTTATCCTCTTGTTAGATTTAGTAGTAATTTAATTTTAATCATGAATAATCACTGATCCGTTAGCATCAACATTTTTATTATGAACTTTTTGCTTCATAGTTCCTTTATTATCTGAGTACATAGACTAATTAGTTTTTAAAGCTTAGTCAGTTTCTTTTGTCCAAGAATCATCCCAGATGTTTTCGGTCACTCTTGATTTCTTTACTTAGTTAACGTCAAATGACGCAGATCTTTCCCTTATATTCCTTTTAGATTTCTTTACGTTTAATCTGTTTATTGATTTCTTCAAACTCTGCTCACTTTAAATGTTGTACTACTACGATTGGACATTAGATTGATCTTTAAATTTCTTTGTTGATTTTGAGCCTGAATTTATGTTGAAATTTTAGTTTATATTTTTCAAAGGTGTTATGTCTCTATTTCTCTGAGCCACCCTGCTTTTTTCTTTCTTTTTAGATTATGTAACTGACTTTTAACTAGTTGGACTTTTATCATTTAAAAACTAGGCCTCATATTTAAAGTTTTCTTTTGACATGGCTCTTCCTCTAATTTTTCTGAACTAGCTTATTTGCTTTTCTTTCTTAATGTTTATATTAATTTGCTTCATTGAATTTTACTTTCTATTTTTCCTTTTAGATATTTAATTATTGAACTAGGATGTTTATTCAAATGTTTCCATATCATCATCATTCTGCTACTCCTAATCTTAATGGTCTGTATAGCTAATTAATTGATGTTTGGCTTAATTATTCTTATCTTCTGATTGATCTCTTTAATTTTCAATCACTGAAATATCCTCAAGGAGAGTTCCAGTTATGATAGTCTATTAAAGTTAGCATACCTAGAATTTTAGAATTTCAATATCTTGTTAAATCTGCGATATCTTTTGATTTTGCTACTTTTATTGAGTTTCTTATCTCTACTTCTAATAGTTAGAGGGGGATCGATCCTATGATCTCTGGCCACTTCTTCCAACTGTACTTACGGAGAAGCTTCTTGCAGTTCTTTGAGTTATTCCCTCAATTCTAGACTCGAGACTTTTGAAAGCATTTATCAGCTTGTTAGATGTTTTCTTATTAGACTATATATCTCTCATATTCTTAACAACCTTTGACTCTAAGATTTTGAATTAATCCAGATTCACTTTAAGGTCATCCAACCTCTATAACTAATCCTTAATAAATGATAGTATTTTAGTGTCTGTTAGTATTGGATCTTAGCTGAGTGAGGCGAATGATTATAGAATGGATGATTAAAAAGTTCCAGAATTCTTTTTACTATCACTTCTTATATTCTACCAGGATTTAATATGCTTAATTGATTGTTCTAATTGATTTATATCTGAAGCAATTTCTTCTCCAAGTTTATTAATTTGATCTTAAATTCCATCAATCTTGGCATTTAGATCAGTGTTTAGAAGTTTTATCTACTTCCCATATTAGCTATTTTCAACTTTGTCCTGATATGAATTATCTAGTTCCTCTACCAGAGTCATATCTCCCTTTTTGCCAAATCTTTGTTCCTCATTAAGCTTAATTATTCCATTTATTTTTTCATCAATGGATTTCTTTAAATTCTCTTATTCTTCTTCCCAATGCTCTTGAAATTTCTATTGTAGTTGACAAACTTTTGCAAGAGAGTTCATTCTATCCTACCCTTGTGAGCTTTCTTATTCCAGTTTCTCTATCTTATAAATTAGTTAACTCATTTAAACTTGCAATATCTTGACATCACCTTGTAGAGAATTCTATTAAGTATTTTCAATCGAGGTCATTGAGGGTAGTGATGGAGAGTTTTAATGGAAAATATTCTAGTTAGAAATTGATTGCATTATTTGCTACTTTTATTGAGGTGTTTGATTCTGACTTAAAAACGATACCTTTTTGTTGCCTATATTGGTATTCGCAAAAGACAGTTCTGTTGAGTTATTCTATGTTGAATGGCGAGATGATTAACCAAGTATTTGAAGGTATTTTTCATAATTTGAAGATGGTAACTCTTGCATTGAACTTTTATGGCTTTAATCCGTTTGCATTTAATTCATTTTTATAACGAATATATTCTAGATACTTTAGTGCAAATATTCAATAGGCGGGGTTTTGGGGTTTTGGGGTTTTGGGGTTTTGGGG